CTACGCACTATAGCAATAATAATAATCCTTGCATTCGACACAGCGCCTTATCAAGTTGTTGAGACGTCTCGAAGCGCTTCGCAGGATATACTGTAACGTGCGGTGACTGTGTATTTTGTGGGCGAAACGCGGCAGCCGATTGCGCCCGGCGACGTCCCCACAAACAAACAGCCGGGGAGCGAGCGACCAATTTTTCTCTGGGGGATTGCCGGCCAGGGGACAGCGGGACCGAGAGAGAAACTCCCTCCTCTTTACCAACAGGTCCGCAGGATCTTTAACATCAGCTTAGACGTGTGGGGCTTGAACCCACAACCTCGACCCAGAGGCTGGAGAGTTACCCACTGAGCCAGGCTGACACCCAGACAAGCCTCCAGCTAAACCCTGCCATTCCCTTCTCCCTCACACACCCGCTGAATGCAAACTGTGACACGACTGCCACCTACCGGGCTCGCCACGGCACTGTAGCCTCCAGCTGAACCAGCAACGTTGGCCATCAAAGCCATCAGCATCCTCTGCTGAGCCAGGGATACCCCGCAGAGCAGCCACACGCACACACATATACCCCCACATATATATACACATACATATATATACACACATACACATATACCCCCACATATATATACACACACATACACGCACACCTATATACACACACACGCACATATATACACACACACACATATATACACACACATATATATATATACACACACACACACACACACATATACCCCCACATATATACACACACACAATCAATTTTCTTTCCAGTCTTAGTGTAGAAATATTATGCTGCGAGTTGTTTTGTTGTTGTTGCTGTGGGTCATCAGGAAAAGCCATGAAGTAACTGGGCTCGTTGGGTAAAAAGCGAGAGAGAGAGAGAGAGAGAGAAAAAAAAGGTTAGCCCTAATGGTACGTGGAGTACAGTAGCTCAGTGGTTAGAGCACTCGCCTCGCAAGCAAGAGGACCCGGGTTTGATTCCCAGGCAGGTCAGCGCGAAACCTTAGGCACGTTTCCTTGCTCCACGCGCCTGTTTGCCTCGCAGAAAATAGGAACCTGGTTAGTCAATTGGCAGATCACTTTCCTGGGATAATAATCCTTCTAAACCCCTCGAGAGAAAGGGGTTAGAGCCGGATTCCACAGCGAGATCCCCAGCACAGAACACAACAATAACAGCAACGGGAGTACAAAAAAGACATCTCACAAAATGGTCAGAAAATACCAATTTTTGGAATCATTCCCCCTCACCTGAAGAACACATCATTGGCCAGGTATTCACCCCAAGTATGGACACCGTCCTGCTCTTGAGAGATAAGAATGACGGTCTTTGTACTTTACTTGGAACACGACAATCCCAAATTCACAAGAACCTCAGCAATCAATCACCAGCCTGGTTCAGCGTCAGTGTTGAGAGCTGAACCTCAGGTACAAGCCGAGGCACTAAAGCTGTGGTTGTCTGGAGACCGCGGTTATGTTTGGAATTGGTGAGATTGGGGAGAGGGGAGGGGGTGTAAGGAGGGAAGGGGACAGAGAGAAAGAGAACAGATTGGCACAGTGGGTAAAGAGAAAACAAAAGAGATTTTACTCTTTATAGAACAAAGCGCTTTGAGGCATCTCGAAGACACGATAAGGTGCTGTATCAAAAGGATTATTATATTATAACAAATCACACGAGCACAGAGGGTGAGGAGCAGACCGTGTCTCGATGGACCACTGGTGGAGTTTCTCACTGTGGTCCTGGCCGACAATGCCGCCCAAATTAAAATGGGTCGATCGCTTCACAGCTGTTGTTGGGATATTGCTGTGCGCAAACTCACGGTGTTTTACCTGTGTGGAAGTAAAGAGATGGTTAAGCCAAAGGCAACCCCCACCCCCCTTTCCTGGCTGTGATGGTTGCTGAGCGCACACATTATTTATATTTATTATTATATTACAATCTGTAATATTGAGCCACGTGTTTCCCCAAACCGACCGCCACGTCGACAAGCTTTTTTTTTTTTTGGCTCAGCCGGGCGGGTGTCCGACACACGCGGAAACCCGTCCCTCGTGGATCAAGAGTCGCCGAACCAAGCTGAGAATTCCACACCTCCCTCCGCCACACGGAAATTCCAGAGATAGACTGTCGGAACGGAATGCGCTCTCTCTCGCTCTCATCCCGGACACATCCGGCTCACTTAAATTCTCTCCCAATCCGATGCTCTCGACCCCATTTAAGAGAACACTTGATAAGGAAGTGCGCGCGGAAATTCCTGAGCGAGATAAACCTCGAGTCAAAACAGGAACGGTTTAAAGTTGGATTTTTCGACTTTTTTTTATTCAAACAGAACCACTTTTCGTGTGCATGACACACACTCACGCACACACTCAATTATATGCACATACAGTATTAATAAATTAATATACACATCCGCTAGTGTGTGTGTGTGTATACAAATTTTACACCTTTAATAAGAAATTCCCGGAGCACATTATAAAGATTTCTGTCTTTCGTTTGCTTGTTTGATTCAACAACGAGACGGGGGTGACATTCGATCAGACAAGTCGGAATGGGACCAGGCGTTTGAGTGACCAGAGAAAAAATTAAGACAAGTTTGTTGTCCCCCCCCCCACACCTTACCCCTCACTTAATTCCCCACCTCCCCCTGCACCCCCCCCCCCCCCCCGCCTACATTTGGACATCCTCAGACACAGTGCCAGCTTCCAATTAAAATGTCAAAACAAGAACAGTTTCACCAGCTTTCTTCTCCGCCAACACTCCCGCACCCCCCCTCCCCCCCACCCACTGCCCCCCCCCCCACAAAAAACCCCAACCATGCAGCATTCTCAGAATACGTTTGCTAAAATAGGTTCCGTTTTATACAGTGAATAAAGTACTTGTAAGTTTATTTCATCTGCTTCCTTTCTTCACCCTCTCTTCCCTCCTCCCCCCAGCCCGTCTGCCTGCCCCAAACCAAAATATTCCTCTGTCTGGGTTTGTTTTGGGGGGGGGGGGGGTTGGTTTAAGAAAAAGCACCTCTGCTATCAAAAAATGAACACAACATCCCAAGTTCTGTAGGACTTTCCCCCCACCCACTGTGCATCTGTCATGTCCGTCCATAGACCCCCCACCCCGCCACGCCACCCCACGCGCACACACACACAACCAAAATGCATCAGATCTCAAACTCGCAGACTCCCGGATGACCCTACATCACCCAGACGGGACTCCCTCTTTGCCGTGGGACAATCCGGGCTGATAAAGGGGTCTGCGAACGGACATCAGCTGCGCAGAAAGCAAAACGAACGAACAAACGACAAAAAGAGAAAGTTCTGCTTCGCCTGTACAAACACTGAATTCAGTTTCAAGCACCTCCTAATTACGCAATTCATTTTAAAATAATAATAATGTAGGAGTAACTCTTTTTAAGACAAGTTTTAAAAACAGATACAGGGAGCGATTCACATTGAAACTCCTCATCGTTCCAACAGCCACTTACTTGCTGTCTCCATTAAAAGTGCATTTGTACTGAAACCATTTAATAAACTTAAAAACTCCCCAGAGACCAGCGTTATATTACTCTGATCTCCAAAGAGGGCAGTGCCAAAGCTACACCTTTGCCCGCGCCCCCCCACCCCACCCGCATTTTGTCTTTGACAGTAAAGAGTATCTATCCTGGAGGGAGGGAGGGAGGGAGGGAGGGAGGGACATCAGACGAAATTTCGTCCATGATTCAGAATTTAATCCGACATAAGAGTGACTCCTTCTAAAGAATTCTTTCCTGGATTTCTTCTTATATAATAATCACACCCCTCAAAATTAAAATACATCTTCCTCCTCGCTCCCCCCTTACTCTCCCCCTCCTCCTAGAAACTCCTCAAGTTGACAATTTCAAAGCTTCCCACCTTTCTACAGAAGAGGAGATAAAACTCATCATAAAAGTCTTTTTTTTTTTGGGGGGGGGGGGCCGTCATTAAACATCTTGTGAGAGACAGAGAGCTTTTCAACAATAAACTGGACAAGATGAGGAAGAGAGATTTTTTTTTTTTTGGGGGGGGGGGTGGAGGGGTAGGAACACAGATAATAATCCCTTTAGTGCGAGAGACACAGAAATCTCCAACTAAAAATATACTTGAGCTAACAGCTGCCTTAATCTCGGAACCCACATGACGTGACAATGGCGAGTGATTTCAATTCATTTTTGTGGAGAAAGAGAGGGACAGAGGGACAGAGGGAGTGCGATTGTCTTTTTCACTGTCTGAATACTTCACAGCAGAATCAATTGAGCAACGTTCACGCAGTAGTCTGTGGTGTGTGTATATGGTGTGTATGTGTGTGCGGGGGGGGGTGTGTGTGTGTGTGTGCGTGCGTATGTGTCTGGTGTGTGTGCGTGGTGTGCAATACGGTGTGTATGTGTGCGCGGGGGGGGGTGTGTATGTGTATGTGTGTGCGTGTGTGGTGTGCAATATGGTGTGTATGTGGGGAGGGGGGGTATACATGCGAGAGGACAGGGGAGGGCGGGCGGGCGGGGGTGGGGGGTGAAGTTTCTCTATCACAGTGAGATGAAAAAAAATAAACATAGCAGCTTGTTGTTTTTATATACCATATAATATATGTATTAAAAAAAATCCTACCCTCTCCCCCCCAACCAAAAAAGAAGCAGCAGGCACCTCCCTGCCCCCATATATAAAAAAAATCTACAAAAAGGAAAAAAAAATCCGTCTTATTTTGAAAAAAGACATGGCTGTTCAAGTTATGACATTTTTTTTTGGAAAGCGTTTTTTTTCTATTGATTTAACTATTTACTCTGGTCTCTCCCCCACTCACCCCCACCCCCCCGCACCCCACCCCACCAATCACCCGCCCCCTTCCCAGTCGACGCGATTCAATAATTTAAACGGTGACATGTTTTTTGTTTGCGGAGAGAACAGGAATCTTAGAACACGGTTGCTTTTGAAAACAGTAACCTGGGAGGGTAGGGGGGAGTGGGGAGGGGGGGGGTCTCTCTCTCTCTCTCCCTCCGTTTCTCTGTCATTTTTAAAAAATAATAATAATTCAGGAATGGTTTGCCGAATGCTCGTTACTCGGGGAACTGGAGGAAGAGGAGGATGACGAAGAGGAGAAGTTCATCCTGGTTAAGTCGGGCGGGTTTGTTGCTGTGTTTTGGCCGCTCAGGCTTTTCCGACACACTGGACAAGTGTCATGCTGCAGGTGGGAGAGAGAGCAAGATTATCAGGGGAGTTGTCGACAAAACAGTCACTACACTTTACTGCCAATCCTGTGAAGCGCTTTGAGGCGTCCTCGTGATGTGTAAGGCGCCATATTGAAGCCCGTCTCAAGATCTTCGTCTTTGACCGTGCCTTCAGCCACACTCCCACCCATCGCTCTCCCTAACCCACCCACCCCTCCAGATCCCAACCCGCAGCTCGGGTGTAAACCATTTACTATCCAGCGCCTCCCGACGTGAAAGGCACTGTGTAAATGCAATGTGTTGCTGTTGCTGTTAGACTTACCATTTCAAGCCAAGGTACTATACAATCATTGTGGAATAAGTGGTTGCACGGAAGTTGTCTAACGTTCTCCCCAACGCCGTAATCTTCTTTACACACAGGGCATTCTGTGCCGGTGCCTGACAGAAAGAGAGCGAGAGAGAGAGGGGGAGAGAGAAAGGGAGAGAGGGAGAGAGAGAGAGAGACAGACAGTTTGGGTAAATTCACAACATGAAGCAAACACACGTTACTTTTCTTTTAAAAAATTACACAACACTCTGTTAAAACCAAAGAGCTTGATTTAGGAACAGGAGGAGGCCATTCAGCCCCTCGTGCCTGTTCTGCCATTCTAGAAAAGATCCTGGCTGATCTGACCTGTACCCCAACTCCAATTACCGGCCTTTGCCCCGTATCCCCTGATCCCCCGACCTGACAAACCTCTAACCACCTCAATCTGGACAATGTGAACGGATCCAGCATTTGATTTGAACATTGCTCACACTGAGCTCCTAGAGACTGGGCTGCCTCTTCGTGTGGTTGTTAAAGATCTTGCGACGCTATTTAAAACGAAAAGCGAGTTTCTTTCTCTTTCTCTCTCGGTGCCTTGGCTAACAATGCCCCAGATAAAAATTGGTCACTCACTCCATGGCTGGTTGTGGAACATCGCTGTGCGCAAATTTAATTTGGGATGTTACCCTCAGCTCTCTCACGCACCCGCCCTCACACCCGGTCCCTGGGGGAGGTGTACATTGTGACACCTTCACCTCATCGCCTCTCCCTGTCCCCATCTCACACCCCATATCTGCACCAGTCACCACTGTACACTTCTTTTCCAAACGCACAGACTAAAAAAAGAACCTCACAAACTCACCTACTTGTCCTTCTGTTACTTGCACTGTGGGGAGGGTCTTGATTTTATCCTTGTCCGCTGGAGGGGGTCCGGGGCTTTCAAACTGGTTCAGGAGCTGGTGAAGGGAAGCATTAAAGGCATTTTTCTTCCAATAACAATCCTTGCACCTGATACAGCGCCTTATCACGTCTTCACGACGTCTCAAAGCGCTTCACAGGATACACTGTAAAGTGAGTCGACTGTGTGTTTTGTGGGTGAAACGTTGCTGTTACTATAGGGAGAGAGGAGTGTGGGAAAGGGATAGAATGGATCCCTGATGAATGATCGTTACCTGTGTAATGATGGAGTCTAAACCATTCGCTCCCCACGCGTAGTCTAGTGGATTGGAGTGCAGAACTCCCCTTTAAACACAGGAGATGACATTAAGATTACATCAAAACACAACACGTCACTTCTCTTCTAACGAAAGCTCTGCTCTAACACAGTCTCCGACGATAACTTGACTACGATAACATAACAATAATCCTTGCATTTTATGCAGCGCCTCCTTATCACATTGTCAAGATGCCTCAAAGCGCTTCACGGGATATACTGTAAAGTGTAGGGACTGTGTACTTTGTGGGTGAAAAGTGGCAGTTGTGCACAGCAGTGTCCCAGTCTCTCCACGGCTGTTACAAATATGTAGTGAGCGATATTGCAAAACAAAACACACAGTATAAACACAGATTTCCTCTGCACTGCAATGTAGTAGCAACATTCAATTAACTTCTCATTGATTCACAAAGAGCTCGGAGATATTTACTCTGCGGGAAATCATTTCAAAGTTTAGCAGCCGTTTCCTTGGCTTTTCATCGTGACTTACCAAGGCCCCAAGCCCAGGTTTGGTACAGCAGCCGGGGCAATAAACCCATTCACCAGCTGCTGAATAATCCTGTAATAGAGAAACAGCGAGAATTTACATTTACTGTATATAGTACACAGGCCCCTTCACATTGGGAAGACAGCTTAGATCACTTCCCACGGCTGGCTGGGAGCTCGAGCAGGTGGGGGAGGAGGAGAGGGAGGAAGAGAGAGGGAGACAGAGGGGGAGAGAGAAAGAAAGAAAGAGGGAAAGAGAGAGGGAGAGAAGGAAAGCAAAAGGAAGAAAATGGCTGGAAGACAAGTTAAAATGTTGGTTTGAGAGGAGATCTCTTTAGTTCGTTAATACATATTAATAGGTTAGGTACAATATATAAACACACACACACAGTCTTATTCACTCAACGCACATCAACAATAACAACAACAACTTGTGTTTATACAGTGCCCTTCACCGGGGTGGGGGGGCAGCCTCTTAAGCCACTGCCGGCCCTACCCCACGTAACAGAAGTCGCCCTCAATCCTTGCAAGCTGAGGCGGGACATTGAATGAGAGTCTAGACACGATGGTAGTCATGGTCAATCAGATAGTCAACAATGATAATGAAGCAGGACCATTGCTGTCCTCACCCTCCCCTCCGACCCCAGACCCACACTCACCCCTCTAGAGTGGGAACCCCCTCGTGCCGTGCTGTCGGTCGCCGTGACGGAAAGCGGGGGGGTCTGGGCTGCCGGGAGCTGTATCTCTGCCGGGACTGGTGTTCCCGCTCCCTCCTGCTCTCCGGGTCCCGGCTCTCCTCCCCCGACAGGTGGCTGGCCGAGGGGCTGGATCCGAAGGAAAAGGGGTCGAAGGGGTCGTCCAAGATCCCAAACGTGAACTGCCCGTAGCTTCCTTGTGGTAACGAAAAGTGATGGTCGAGGCCCTGTGTCAGGTAGACATTAAGATCATCTTTAAGCTCACTCCAGGTCTCTCGCTCGCTCTCTACACCATTTCAAACTACATTCATGATCAGGGACTCCCCTTTCCCAGCACTGGGACACCATAGGAACACTGTCATCTGTGGCCTTAGAGAGTGATGATAATAATAATGATCCTTTCATTTCATACAGCGCCTTATCACGTCTTTGAGACGACTCAAAGAGCTTGACAGGATATTTATATATATTCTGTGAAACACTTTGACATGTCGCAATGATGTAATAAGGCGCTGTATTAAATGCAAGGATTATTACTATTATTAGTATAGTAATAGTATACTATTATTATTCTAATTAAGATCTCCACTGGTCTCAAGCGCCTTGGGATATCCTCCCGACGTGAAAGGCACTATACAAATGTCATTTAGCTGTTGTTGTGGTGGCCGCCGTGTTATCCTGGCCGAACTGAGGTTGTTAACAGTTAACAAGGCTCGGCTAGCCTCGCGGTAACCCTGCAGCACTGTGTACACTATGCACATGCCGATCACACGTGGACAGTCTCACACATACACACACACACACACAGCTCCCAAACCACAGTCACACTGCACGTTATGCAGTGTCAACACAGCACACACACCGACCACAGTCACACTGGTATATAAAGAGCCTGCAAAACACCGACTTCATAAAAGGCAAAGAGAATAATAGGAAGGATCGTTTGCACTCAAGCCTGTGGGGAAACAATGTGCGTGTTCTCTGCTAGTTTTTTCCCCCCAACAAAATATCCAGTCACTACACTGCATTCAATCCACGACTGTTTGTGGAGACGCTGCTGTGCGCAATTGGCTGCCACGTGTTGCCCACAAAACACAGTTAATTCACTTTACAGTATATCCTGTGAAGCGCTTTGAGACGTCTCAAAGACTTGATAAAGCGGCCATATGAAAATGCAAGGATTATGCTATTATTTTTAGTGGGAAGCACTTTACGTTTTCAGGACAGAAATAGTCATTGGTTTCGGCCCAAACTTTTGTGTTTAAAGCTACAGACAGGTGAGGGAGGGATTCTGCTTCTCAAAATCACAGCTGGAACCCACAGGCAGTGAATTGGTTTATTTCTGCCTCTCTCTCTCTCTGGCCCCTGGGTGAGGAAAGGCAAAAGAAAGTGCTACCGACTGAGCCAGTCTGACAGCAGTCCAATGTTCCCACAATAGAAAAATGCCAGAACTTGAGAAGAGAGCGCTGATCCCACACTAGTGAGAGCAGAGGTCGGCAAACACACGGCTGATATACTGGGCCAGGTGATCAGTCAGGGAACATTGATCTCACGGGCATTCACTGGAAAATTCACGTTGTGTTTCCAGAAGGGTTGCAAAGAGGAATTTCCTGACTGCGCGCGATTTTCGCAGTCAGCCGACAAAACAGCTTTTTTAAAAAAAAAAACTTTTTAAGATCGATACACGTCTTAAACGAAACATTCCGAGTCCTTATTGAAAATGCAGTTCATTCAAAATCCAACTTTTAAACACAGCTAACATTCTTAAACAGTGCACTGTAAGCAAGCAAACATATAGAGGTTTTTTTTTATATATATTTAAAATAAACCTCGGATAAATAGGTAGGTAGATAGATAGATTGAGCCCTGCCACGAACCTCAAACTGTCGGGCATGATCGCTTGTGGAAGCTGTGGAACTGGAGCCATTTTCAGCATTTCTACAAAATATTTCAAAAACGTCACATAATTAATGTCACACATCATGCCGTGAGAACTCACAGCCAGCTGTCAGGGCCCCTGTTCAACACTCGGCAAATCTTGGATGATTTATTTGATTGGTTGGTCGACTGGTTGAACGGTAGCAGTTGTGGTAAAGCAACAACAAGAGTGAGAGAAAGAGAGAGAGAGAGAGAGAGAAACAACAACAATCACATCAGCTAATTCTCCATTTGGCTGTAGCTCCCGAGAGAAGGGAAGGGAGGGAGGGAGAGAGCCATGTACTATATAATGTACAGTCACTCCACTTACCTCGACTCTTGGTCGGGTAATTCTTCTATGAACCCGGAGTCGCATCGCGGACACGTATACTCCTAGGGCGGAATAAGAAAGTAATGTTAGAGTTACTTTACCATCTCAAATCAGTTTCAAGATAAAGCTGCAGTTCAATCTTTAAAAAAAGCCACTGATGCTCTCCTCTCTGTAACTGCTTCCCAAAGCGCATTTGAGTGGAGAAACGGGAAGACTTGCTCCTTCCATACCCACCGCTGGGAAACAATCAGACACGTATAAGTTACCGGAAGATTACCCTTTGAACAATTCACAAGATATTAGAATTCATACACAGCGTGAACAAGCAGAGCAGAGAGAGACAGAGCTTCCCACAGGAATCGAGGGAGACATTGGAAGGCTTTGGAGGGCAAAACACCGCAGACGCTGGAAATCTGAAATAAAAACAGAAATCGCCGGGAACACTCAGCGGGTCAGGCAGCATCTATGGAGGGAGAGGAAAGTGGGTTAACGTTTCAGGCCGGCGACCTTTCGACGAGTTCTGACGAAAGGTCATCGACCTGAAAGGTTAACCCACTTTCCACTCTCCATAGATGCTGCCTGACCCGCTGAGTGTTCCCATCCACTTCTGTTTTTATTATGGATAATTCAACGTCCGCTTAGACCAGCAAAAACAGCTCAACATCACATCAAAGGACATCACCATCACAACAGCACTGACTGTCTTGTACTGAGGGGAGGGGAGATTTTAAGCTTGTGCCCCTTCAGGCCTACGAGAGAGTTCTACCAATTGCACCAAACTTGGATCAGCTATTTTCTAGACCTTGAGACACCAATCACAGAGTGTTCCTCATTTTGTCAATTAGATAAACATGAACATCTCCCTTATCCCCGGAGAGCGAGGCTCCTCTCTCGCTATCGCTGGCCAAAAAAAACAAACGTGCTGAAGCCCCGCAATTCGCCTGCAGAGAATCCAGCCACAGCCTCACGCAGTAGATATTGTTAGATGTTTTAAATGTAACCCATTCAATCTAAATTAAAGCACTGCGAGACCACTTGGACCACTCCAAGCGCTTCACAGAATGTACTGTAAAGTGAATTGACTGTAGATTTGGTGGACAAAATAACCCACATAGCTAAGTGACCGACAAATGGATATCCAACCAAGGTTCGTTAACCTTGAGAGGCGAGAACTCAACTCCTGTGGCTCTGTAAGTGGATGGGTCGGTCTTCTCCTCTCCCAGCACTGGAGGATATATTACTGAACACCCTCTTACAAAGGCAAATTTAGCTGCAGTCTCGGCCAAACAATTACTGCATAATGAAAAATAGTAATTACCCTGAATCCGCAGGACCACAAACGCAGCGAATGAGATACATGAACCACGTGTGAAGCGCATTCACAGCCAATGCTTTATTGTCATCTAGATTTGTAGCTTATCTTCCTTCAAAAAAAAAATTATAATAATAAATTGGTCACTTCAATCCACGACTGTGTGTGGGGACGCTGCTGTGCGCAATTGGCTGCCGCGTTTCGCCCACAAAATATACAGTCAATTCACTTTACAGTGTATCCTGTGAAGCACTTTGGGACGTCTCGAATAAGGTGATAAGGCGCTGTGTCAAATGCAAGGATTATTATTATTATAATGCTCAGCCATATCCTCTCAGTCATATCCGTCCTTCTCTCCACCCCACATCCCATTGACACACAAGCGAACAGATCTCTCACATTCCCCCCCCCCCCCCCCAGTCACACTCTGCACTGTGACGTCCTTATAAGCAGACACTCGCCATCAAATCACAGGTGACTGTGACACACACTGCCCGCCCCCACCCTCTCCGCTCCCCAGTGTTAATTGTTCGAAGAGATGCCAGACACCTCTACCATCGTGATTCTACAGGGAAGGTTCCAGAAAGCAAAACACAAAAACAGCCACCACAAAAGCGAAACAGAAAGTTGAAACTAAATGTTGGCGATGACAGTCGGGGTAAAGGACCAGGGTCCATGTTTTTGTGCGTCTTTTAATGAAATTGCTGCCTGAAAAAAAACAAAGGGCAGCTTGTTGTAAATCCTGAAAAGGGAGACATATCTTTTTATTATATCCACTGTAGATTTAACCAGGTATGATTTATTAACATCAGGTTCACGAGGTGAATAGCTATCCTCCCTTATATAAAAAAAATCAAATCTTTCTCTAAAGTCAAGGTCTCTCGATAGCATAACGCCTACAGCCCCACCCCCACAGCACCAAATGATCGACTGCGACCACAAAATCACTCATCTTTATCAGCAGGAAAATGCCACAAAAGCACGGGCTATCACTGCTCTCTGGATCTGTAAGCGATTGCTGAGGTGGAGTCTTCCGAGAAACCTTCGATATAGACTCGCCAAATTCTTGACCTACTAAATTAGCTGTAAATGAGTCATCGGCTTCCAGGAAAGGAGAACCCAGCATTTCCCCTGTTAAAGCTAAAGCCACACTATTATTCAATTAAAACTCGGGTGCTAATGCGTCCAGGGATATCCCGCTTATACAAGTAAAGTTACACCAATATGATTTGCTCCTCACATACTGTATTTCCATCGATTCTCATTATGCAAATGAAACACGACACACTTAAAGAGTCAAAACTAGGTTTGAGGGCAGAATTCTCCGACGAGGCCTCAGCGACTCTCGCAATAATGGCTAATGTTGAAGATGTGACAGCCTGGCTTCAGCCTGAGCAATCATACTGAGACTACCACCAACCTGGTTATAACGCAACCGTCAAAATAATTACAGGAACATTAGTCAACTCCAAATATAATAACCGTACGGTCATGTTTTTGTGTCGTAACTGAACACTTTTTTTTGAAAAACCTTTTCAATCTTTTTAAAGAACGACAGTTTTTTTTTGGTGTAAGGTAATTCTGAACACAATGGTTTTTTTAAAAATAAAAATGTAAATTGCATGCCCCTCATGCCCTCCCCTCTGTACCACCATCGGTGACCACACTTTCAGCCACTACGGCCTGAACCTCTGGAAGACTCTCTCTCTATCCCTCCGCCTTGCCCCCTTCCTTCCCCATCTTCAGGACGCACCTGAAGACCTTCCTCTTTGACCGTGCCTACAGTCACCTCATTCCCCCTGGCTCGGTGTTGTGCTCCGCCACTGTCAAGCGCCCTGGGACGCTGCCCTGTGCGAGGGGGGCGCTAGGTAAATGCAAGTTGTTGTTGAAATTACAGCAGATGACATTTTAAAACAAGTTAAAGCCAAAAGGTGAAATTACGGCACATGAAAAAGAAAATAACAAACAGGCTGTCACCTGTGACACACAAATAAAATGACCGCGTGGTTGGGTTAGTAAACCTAAATGCAGTGCTTGATGTGGTCAGGGCACGTCGCCACCATTCATAAAAATCATTTTAAGACTACAAAGGTTAAAAATATTTAAGTTTGATCATGATCCTCGTTCTGAAATTTTGAAACGGTAAGCTTGTGTGCGTGTCAGAGCACCAGTGAGCACACGTGTGCACGCAAGCATGCATGTGGCAGACTGTGTGTGACAAAGCGTGTACGTGTGACAGAACGAGCAAGTGTACGCGTGAGTGCGAGTATCCGCTTGTGTGTGAGGGCATAAGTGTACGCGCTTCAGGTGGATCAGAGTGCGAGTGTGTGTAAGGTGTGTGAGCGGGGGATGTCAGTACAAGCGTGTGTTCACACTCTGACACGTGCATCTGTCAGAGTGCGGGCGTGAGTGCGCATGTGTTCTGCTCTGCTCACACTCCACTACCCACCCCCTTCATTCAGCTGCTTGTGTTTTCTGCACATCCCACATCCTCTCTGCTCCACCACTGATGGCCGTACTTTCAGCCACTGCGCCCTGAACCCAACGAACTTCCTGCCTCAGTCCCTCCGTCTCGTCCCCTTTGGCCCAGTCTTCAAATCGCACCTGAAGACTTTCCTCTTCAGTTATTCTCTTTGGGACTATTCCTCCCTTCCCTTTCCTGCCTGACATCAAACCACACCATCACACTGAGGCACAATCAGACCGACACACACACACACACACACTCACACTGTGACACGCGTGAAGGGCGTTGTGTAAGTTGTCAGTGTGAGTGAGTGTGTCAGTGTGAGTGTGTGTCAGTGTGAGTGTGTTTGTCAGTGAGTGTGTGTCAGTGTGTCAGTGTGTGTGTGTCAGTGTGAGTGTGTGTCAGTGTAACTGTGTGTGTGTCAGTGTGTGTGTGTGTGTGTGTATAAGTGTGTCAGTGTGAGTGTGAGTGTCAGTGTGTGTGTGTGTGTGTCAGTGAGTGTGAGCGGCGCGTGCGCAGTGCCCCTCGGGGTGGTCGCGGCTCCAGCGTCAAGAAAGCCTCTCACCGCAGCGCGAGTGTCTGACAGTGAGTGTGACAGTCTGTGTGTGTGTGTGTGTGTGTGTGTGGGTGTGTGTGTGGGTGGGGGGTGCCGCGGGGTCTCCCGCCCTGACGCCCCGGGGGCCGGGTGTAGCCGAGGCCTGTGCCGGGCCGGGCCGTGGCGCGAGGCCCGGGGACTGGGCCTAAGGCCCCGGGGAGCCCGGGGCGGCGGGAGGGGAGGGGAGGGGAGGGAGGAGGGGGCCGGGGCCGGGCCGGGGAGCGGGCACTCACCGGCAGCTCGGGCAGGATCTCGGCCGAGCAGCGGTGGCAGAAGAAGCGAGAGCACCGACCCTGTGATGGCGCCTCCGCCATGTTCACGTACATCCGATCCGACGCAGTGACGTCGCGGCACGTCAGGCCTTTGGCCGGCACGTTCGCGATTGTGACGTCACGCGGCTCGCATGCACGCACGCACGCACGCACGCACGCGGGCGGGTTTAGGGGGCGGGGCGGGGAGAGCTCGGCCACGCCCCCTTCGCGCCCCCGCCCGCCCACACACAGGCGGCGGCGACTGCGCACGCGCAAGAGGGACAACGCCAACAACAACAACAACCACCACTACAACGATTAATAATAATCTTTTTGTTGTCATAATGTTTATAATAACAACATCATCAACAATGACATACAACAATAATATAATAATATAATTATAATAATAGTGTAATAATGGTATAATAACAACATACAATAATATAATAATAATACAATAATGGTGATAATAATATAATGTATGATAACATATAATATAATTATAATAATAAGATCATATAATAATGGTATAATAATCATAATATAATATAATACCAATAATAATCCTTGCGTTTTTATTATTTTTTAATAATTTTATTATAATTTTATTATATTATAATAACAAAACAATAATAGAATGATCGCAACAATATAATAATAACCATAATAATATAATCCTTGTATTTGATATAGCATTGTATCATGTCTTCGAGACGTCTCAAAGTGCAGTGACTGTGTTTTGTGGGCGAAGTAAGGAAACGTGCCTAAGGTTTCGCTCTGCCCGGGAATCGAACCCACCTTTCTCAATCCCAACTAAAACTTGATGCACCTCTATAATTTACCCACAAGAAAACTTGTAGACATGTAACCCCCGCCAGCAACCACGTCGGGCTAATAAATCTCTGAGCTCTCCTTTGAAAAAAAACACAGCAACACATGTTTTTCATATTTTTGTTCCACTTGGATTCGAATTCTGCAATAAAACTGGGGGGGAAATAGCCTGGAATCTAGTTCATTTCCATTGAAGTGAACCAGCGAGTCTGTTAATCCTTTAACAATCCTGTCAAATATTCTGTCACAATTTTTTTATGGGAAAAGAACCATAAATAAATGCTAAAATTCTTCGTTCCTAACATTTGATGCTGCTGTTGCTTGGCACAGCACCGTATTGCTCAGCACAGGATTGGCGCGTTTTGCTCACAAAATACGGTCACTGCACTTTACAGTACATCCTGTGAAGCGCTTTGAGACGTCTCGAAGGTGTGATAAGGTGCCGTATCAAACTCAAGGATTACCATTAATATTAATATATTCTGCGAATGTGTAAACACCTGCGGGAAATCAACGTTGCTCTTTGGACAAGTGTGCCATACTCAGTAAGACAGCAAGAGAAGGAGGGAGGAAGAAATCACAGGTGAATGAACCCACGGAAATAAACATTAGTAAACAAGTCCAACTTTATCCGTTTCACTTTGCTGTTTAGACCTGAATTTCTCACAAAGTGCATTGAACATCCCACCAGGAGTTAACAGGACTTGATAACAACAACTTGGATTTACGTAGTGGCCTTCACGCCGGATAGGGTCTCGGAGCGCTAAAGAGGAGAGTGCATGATTCCTGTCAGGGCGGCACTGGCCGGGCACTAATAGGCGCTGCAGCGGACGTGAGGATTATTTATAATACGGGATATATAAATTATTATAAATACTGTACAGGTTGAGCATGCGGTTCGGGGTATTGCCTGCAGTGGGCGCTTGGAGTATGAAGTATAACATTGGATAAAGGAATATTAATGGAAATGGACCCAGTAATTGGCACTTCACGAACTAACAATACATCCATTAAATATAACTGGTACTCGCGTGTTGTACAGCGCCTTATCACATCGCCGAAACGTCTCAAAGCGCTTTGCGGGATTTACTATAGAGCTGTACTGTTTGACTGTGCGTTTTGTAGACAAACATTTGCCATTACTGTGGGATAAAGTGGTCCAATCAATAATAGCAGTAATAGTAATAATAATATTAATCCTTGCACTCAATAGTGAAGGGAGTTTCTCTCCTGGTGTCCTGGCCGACAAATTACACAGTCACTACACTCTGCAATAAATCATGTGAAGCGCTTTGAGGTATCCTCTCAAAGGCCCGGGTAAAATGGAAGGATTATTATTATTATTATTATTATACATCGCTGCTAACAATTAATTTACCCCCTGCGTTCTGTAGAGTAGTGGTTAGAGCACTCGCCTCGCAAATCAAATCACTTTACAGTACATTCTGTGAATCGTTTTGAGACGTTTTAACAGCGTAATGAGGCTCCATGTCAACCGCGAGGATTATTATTATTATTATTAAAGCAATAAAATAAATTCCCCGCGATTGATCCGTCCCTGATTTTTCGCGCCGGTTGACTTTTTGCCGGTGTTTGCACCGCTCGCCGACTCGTTCAAGTGAGGAGACCAGATGGCAACCGAACCGAAAAACATCGCGGGCCGAAAGGAGAGAGAGAGCGAGAGGGAGAGAGAGAGGCTGTGTCTCACATTACAGCACGGCTGAGAATGTGTAGGCACGGCTTGACAATAGCCAGACCACAAAAACAATTCTGGTCTGGCAGCGAGGTGGGCAAGCACGGGGAGGCCAAATCTGTGTCAATGTGCAAATCATCTGCCGTTTCATTTTAAATCGCGTCTGTGAGCACTGATACGTCTGAGCTCTGCATTGCTTCTTCGTGGTTGAAGTGTTAGTCACCTCCCCTCCTCTCGTCCCATCTCTCCCACCATCCTCCCCCCACCACCACACACCTCCATCCCACTCCCCCCCCCCACCCCCACACCCCGTCCTCCCCCATCTCGTTCGCTGTCTGACCCCCCCCATTTCTGTGTCGCCCTCCGAGATGTTATCCCATGTGAAAGATGCTGTCTAAATGTAAACTGTTGTTGTTGCTGCTGCTGTTGTTGTCGTTGATGTTTTTACTGTTATTGTTGTTGTTCACGGGATCTTTGCCCGAAAAAGACTATTTTGGCCTTAAAATTTCGAGATCGCTTCTTCAATTCAATCTGGAAGCCGATTTATATTAATAATTATTATTAATGACAACAACTCGTATTTATTTATATAGCGTCCCTCACACAGGGTAGAGTCCCAGAGCATTTAATTATAATAATAATAATCCTTGTGTTTGTTACCAGCGCATTATCAAGTCGCGAGGAAGCCCCAACGCACAGAGGACAGTCTGCAGAGTGTAGTGACTGCGTTTTGTGGGCAAACTTGGCAGCCAATTGGCGGATAGCCATGTCAATCAAGTTAAGATAAGGACAAATAAGGAAACCATTAATTCTGTCTCGTTTTTGTATCAGTCCACACTTCTCGCTCAGGGCGAGGGTCCTGCTGGGTGGGTGAGGGTCCTGCTGGGTGGGTGAGGGTCCTGCTGGGTGGGTGAGGGTCCTGCTGGGTGGGTGAGGGTCCTGCTGGGTGGGTGAGGGTCCTGCTGGGTGGGTGAGGGTCCTGCTGGGTGGGTGAGGGTCCTGCTGGGTGGGTGAGGGTCCTGCTGGGTGGGTGAGGGTCCTGCTGGGTGGGTGAGGGTCCTGCTGGGTGGCAAGTCCCTCAGAACATGCTTTTTAAGCTGATTTTTAGCTTCAAGTTGTTTCTTTTTCACGACAGTGACTTGTGCAATGATGGAATGTTGCAGTGGTGAAAGTCTAAGTGAGCAAGTGTTTTGCGAGGTGCAAATATCTGTCTGGCAAATACTGGGAGCAGTTAGCGAGAGGGGAGTGGGGGGGGGGGGGAAGCAATAGGAAGACAGATGGGTTCAATTATTTCCTCAGATGGAAAGGGAGACGGACGTACACATAGTTCCTGTTTCCAGACAAAACTCACTCAGGAATCTGTAACATATGTCAAGGAGTGTTAAGTACGGAGCAAGTTACTAAAACTGAGAGGACCCGGGTTTGATTCCTGGACAGAACGATGGGCAAGTTTCCTCACTCCACACACACACACACCTCTGTTTACCCAGCAGTCAGCTGTTAGAGAGAGCAGGGAATGGGGATAGAGTAGAGAGCTCCAGTGGGGGAGCGAACCCCAACACAGACACGATAAGGAAAGCTACCCCCTTTTGGACTGTAAGTGCTCTGAGCCGCAGAGTGCCCTGTGTGGAGGGTGCTATGTAAGTGCAAGTTGTTGTTGTAAGTATTTCACACACAAGCTACAAACTGACATAGTGACCGCCCCCCCCACACACACACACACTGGTGGCTGTGTCCAGGCAGCCAAACGACGACAACTTGCACTTCACACAGCGTAGGGTCCCAGAGGGCTTGACATGGCAGAGCACGACACCGGGGAGTAGGGGGGGATGACCGTAGGGACGGTCGAAGAGGAAGGTCTTCAGGGAGGGAGAGAGTCCCAGTGTTTCGGGGCGTAGGGTTGTGTTCAGGGCACAAAAACAAAACAAAACAAAACAAGGAGAGAAAAATCCAACAGTTTAAACAACAGCTTTGTAACTTCCTCATTAGAGATTGGTTTACGGTGAGAGTCAGCGCAGAAAAATCTTCAGAAAATAGTGAAGTGGGGGGGAGTGGGGGGGGCGGGGGAGCTGTGGTCAGGAGTAAGTTTACTTTGGTTGGAAGCCAAGACGGGACCAGACAGGGAGGGAGGGAGAGAGAGAGAGAGGGAGGGAACATGTCACTGGAATGAAGGAGGCAAATGATCAAAGATGACTATGTTGAGGCTGACTGGATGCTGTCAATCCAATCCAGGCTCCAGCTCCCCCCCCCCCCCCCCCCCCACTCCCACTCCCACCACAAGAACCACTTATTTAAGAAGCCGCTCAGTGAGCGATTTCATTCTTAAAGTGCAAACTACTACACAGAGAGTCAGAGACAGACAGACACAGAGAGAGACAGAGAGACAGACACAGAGAGAGACACAGACAGAGAAACAGAGAGACAGTGAGAAAGACAGACAGACAGAGAAACAGTGAGAACGAGACAGACAGACAGAGACAGACAGACAGACAGAGACAGGCAGAAAAAAAGAGAGACACACAGAGTGACAGAGAGAGTCAGACATACAGACAGATACCGAGAGATAGAGACACAGAGAGAAGCTCTTGCCAGCTGGGAGAGTTGGAGAGTTGGAGAGTGGAGAGTTGGAGAGTTGGAGAGTTGGAGAGTGGAGAGTTGGAGAGTTGGAGAGTGGAGAGTTGGAGAGTGGAGAGTTGGAGAGTGGAGAGTTGGTTGGAGAGTTTGGGGAGTTTGGAGAGTTTGGAGTTTGGAGAGTTTGGAGTTTGGAGAGTTTGGAGTTTGGAGAGTTTGGAGTTTGGAGAGTTTGGAGTTTGGAGAGTTTGGAGTTTGGAGAGTTTGGAGTTTGGAGAGTTTGGAGTTTGGAGAGTTTGGAGTTTGGAGAGTTTGGAGTTTGGAGAGTTTGGAGTTTGGAGAGTTTGGAGTTTGGGGAGTTTGGAGTTTGGAGCGTTGCGGTTGGGATCCTGGCCGGGATGCCTTCCTTGTCCCAGCAGCTGTTGCTGCCCCCCCTGACGTTGGCTGTGGTGTGTCTCCTCCTCGGGGGGAAACCTGCCTACGGTAAGACAACATGTCACATGTTTTGATTCAGATTCAAAGGACTGGTTTAGTAATTAATCGCTGCCCAGACTGGTCTGAAGTTTGCTGAGACAGTAAGTTAGTTACTCATTCGGTTCAGTTAATTCCTTCCTTCTCAAAGAAACGTCTCAAAGCGCTTCACAGGATATATTGTAAAGTGTAGTGACTGTGAGCGAAATGCGGCAGCGTCTCACAAACAGTGGAGTTTTTCGGGGATTATTATCCTCGGAAAAGCCATCCGCCAATCGACTAACAACCGGGTTCCTACTGACTGCTGGTAAACAGAGGCGCGTGTGTGTCTGTGTCTCTCTCTCTCTCTCTGTGTGTGTGTCTGTGTCTCGCTCTCTCTCTCTGTCTGTGTGTGTGTGTGTGTCTGTGTGGAGTAAGGAAACTTGCCTAAGGTTTCACCCTGTCCTGTCCCGCCCGGGAATCGAACCCGGGTCCCCTGGCATGCGAGGCGAGGGGTCTAACCCCAGAGCTACGGGACTGTGTAAACCTGTGTAAGCTTGTGTAAACGCGAGCTGTTTGGTTGTTGTTGTTGACCAGCTGGAGTCTGCTGGTTACAGCAGGGGAGGAACGGCAAGTGTCAGGCGCTGTCAATGACCAGGATTATCCGTGAGGAATGCTGTGGGAGCGGGAATGCCCAGGCCGCCTGGACCAGCCAGGACATCCCTGAGGGAGAGATCCTCAAGCTCATCATCCTCGGGGGAGTGGGCTGCCACCCCTGTCACAGTGAGTATCTCACCAGCAAACGTCAGCTGGAATAACATCCGGGGATGCAATCCGGGAAAGAGTTTGGGACGCGACCTGACCAGCCACGGCCGGGGCTGGTGGAAGGTGAACTGGACGGACCTTGGTCTTTGAGGGCAAATTCTTATGTTCTTATGACTCACCGTATCAAACCCAGCTCCCTGCACGTCCAATAGAACCAGAGATATTTATAGTCGTTCATTCAGCCCCTTCCCTCTCTGCCCTCCTCCCCCTCCTGATCCCAACCCCCCGATCCCAACCCCCCACCCCCCTGACTGTCCAGCGCCTTGGGACGTCCTCCCGACGCGAAAGACCCCCATGCAAACGTTGCGTGTTGTCGTCGAGGCCATAACCTTTTACCCCCTTACCCTTCCCACCCTCTTCCCTTCAGAGACGTGCGAGGACGTGGACTGTGGCCTCGGGAAGATCTGCAAACTGAACAAACACGCCAAGCCCACGTGTATCTGTGCCCCCGACTGCTCCAACGTGACAAAGAGAGTTCCCGTGTGCGGGACAGACGGCAAGATCTACAGCGACGAGTGTGCTCTCCTCATGGCCAAGTGCCGTGGGCTGCCCGAGCTGGAGGTCCAATATCAGGGCGAGTGTAAGAGTAAGTGCCTTCCTCCTCTGGGAGTACAGCTCGGTACCTTCTTGTCGGAGCCCTGAAGCCTTGGGGTTCGAGCACTTGCCTTGCAAGCGACAGGACGCAGAGCGAAACCACAGACATGTTTCCTCACCCGGTTGATAGTGGATTGGCGGGTGGCTTTCCGGGGCTATTTATCCCTTCAAAGAATAAATAATAATAATAATTGGCCACTCAATCCACGACTGTGGGACACCGCCGGTTCCCGGGTTTCACCAACAAACTACACAGTCACTAGACTTGACAGTATATTCGGTGAAGCACTTTGGGACGTCTCAAAAATGTGATGAGGCGCTATATCTTTACCGTCTTGTACATGTATCGCTGTCATTGACATACGTGTATCAGCTCTGTTGACACACATACCTGTAACCTGGTTTCTTGCAGAGTCCTGCACGCAGGTCTTGTGCCCGGGCAGCTCCATGTGTGTTGTGGACCAGACGAACAGCGCTCACTGCGTGATGTGCCGTGTGATCCCGTGTCCGGAGCCGCTGTCACCTGGTCAGGCGCTGTGTGGCAACAATGGGCTGACGTATCCCAGTGTCTGCCACCTGCGGAGGGCAACCTGCCTCCTGGGCAAGTCCATTGGCGTCGCTCACTACGGCAGGTGTAACTGTAAGTGCCCTGGCCTGTCCCCCCCCCCCGGCCTGTTCTCCCCCCCGTCTGTGTGTGAGTGTCTGTGTGTGAGTGTCTTGTGGGTGTGTATCTGTCTGTTTCTGTAGATACGTGAGTTTGAGAGGCGGAGGGCCAGAGGGAGAATGTTCCAGTGTTTCGGGGCTGAAAGCGCGGCCACCGATGGTGGAGCGGAGGGACGAGCAGGAGGCGGGAACCAGTTGAACGGAGGCAGCGGGTGGTGGGTTGGGGAGGAAGCAGATTAAAAACTGCCATCTCATTCCCCTTGGACCTCAGGTGTCTTTAACGCTCAGTTTGCAGCGTCCACATCTGTCGGGGGCCACACAAGCGATTGTAAGGTCTCCTAAACCCTGCGCACTTCAAAACAACAGCCCCCAAGGCTCACATTCTCCCCATCTGGAAACGGGCTGAGATTGGCAGTAATCCGCAAATCCTATCAATAGCCCACTTTCCTCTGTTCCAGTAAATCTCCAAAGAGAGAGAGAGAGAAATAAATACTCCTCCTGGATTTTTATTTTAACTCCCGATGTTTAGCTGGCAACAGAGCCCTGCTAACCTGTCCAACACCGCAATCCCCCCGCACTGCGCACAGCCCACATGCACACACACGCACACACACGCACAAACACACATACACAGGCCCACACACACACACACACACACACACACACACACAAAACAAAAGGCTTTGTGGAGCCCTGTAGCTCAGTGGTTACATCGCTCGCCTCGCAAGTGAGAGGACCCGGGTTCGATTCCCATGTCAGGGCGAAACTCAAGGCAAGTTTCCTTACTCCACACACACACACATCTCTATTTACCAGCAGTGAGTAGGAACCCAGTTGTTAGTCAATCGGTGGATAGCTTTTCTGGGGATAATAATCCCTTCTACGCCCCCAAAACTCTGGAACTCTCTCTCCCTCTAAATCCCCCGGCTTGCCCCTTCCTTCCCCATCTTCAGATCGCGCCTGAAGACCTTCCTCTTCGACCTACAGTCACCTTCCCCCTCCCCCCAGGATCGGTGTCGTGCTCCGCCACCGTCAAGCGCTCTGGGACTCTACCCTGTGTGAGGGGGAACACTGTGTAAATGCAAGCTGCTGTTGTTGTTGTTGAGAACATGGCCGATTGAATGAGCTCCCTCCTGTTCCAAATGTTCTTTGCTCCTGTTCTCTTCTCCCCCCCACCCCCCCATACACACACACACCCCCACACGCCCGAACGCCCACAGACACACACCCCTCACTAACTCAGCCCCCACACTAATTGACGTTTCATTTTCAGCCTCAGAAGAAGACATCAAGGAGAGAGGAGAGCATCAGGACAACACTGTGTTCTCTAAGATGTTGCTGGGATGGTAGCTCTCAGCCCGGCTCGGAACAGAGAGAGACACAGAGACACAGACAGAGAGAGAGAGAGGCAGAGAGAGAGAGAGAGAGAGAGATATCAGGGCAAAATATGTGGCATTTTGTTTTGAAGCTGTTCTGTTGTGAATGAAGAAACATTTACCCACTCACCCACCGCGGGCTTCATCAGCCTCGATTAGGACATCAGAGTAATAATTGCATTTGGTACAGAGCCTCATCACGTCTTCCAGACGTCCCCAAGCGCTTCACAGAATATACTGTAAAGTGGAGTGACTGTACTTTGTGAGCGAGACGCGGCAGCCGATCGCGCACAGCAGCGTTCCCCCACACACAGTCGTGGATTGGGTGACCAAATTCTTCTTATTTTTTGGGAGGGATTATTATCCACAGAAAGCGATCCGACAACCGACAACCGGGTTCCCACTCACTGCCAGGTAAACAGAGTGAGGAAACTCGCCCACCGTTTCATCCCGACCCGCCCGGGAATCGAAACCAGATCCTCTCGCTTGCGAGGCAAGTGCTCTAACCGCGACACTACAGGACCACACTACACTGGGGCCGAGGAGAGACACAGTCATGTTAATTAACACCAGGAAGGCTTTCAAAACATACCACAAACACTGCCCCATGTTCTGTTTATATTGTACATAACCCAACCTTGTTTGTATTTATTGGAAAGACAGATGAAGGGAAAAAAAGAGACGCCGTTTTAATTTATACCTTACGATGACTGATGTAGACTTGCCGTATTGTGTGTGTAATAATCACCTGATGTAATTATAATTATTTTCCACAAAAAATGTGTTACTTTTCTATGGTTAAAATTACGGTTGTCCAGTCAGTCTGTTTCCGCTCCCACCATTCCCGCCCCCACACCCGCACACATCGCACCCTCTCCCACACACCCACATACACCATTTCCCCCCACATACCTGTCAGACATCAGGTACTGAATAATTGTGCCGATCTCCCTCTCCCAACTGCTCCCACATCACTGCCCCTCCGTCTCCCCCCCCCCTCCCCACCATCTCTCCTGTTGTTTTACTCTTGTATTAATGTGTGTGGGGGTGGGGGTGGGGGGGTGATTGTAGCATTATAAATAAAACCCTGTCTGGACAAACCTGGTCTCAGCCCTATGCTCAGTAAGTGTAACCTTGTGTGTGTGACTGTTCGTAAGCCCTTGAGCTTATTCTGGCCCATGGGGTGGATTTCCGTTAAAGAAACAGTCTGGACTGAATATCTCAACAACACATGACATTTACACAGCGCCCTTCACATCGGGAGGATGTCCCAAGGCAAGGGTTTGCACCCGAGCTGGGGGTGGAGGGCAAAGGGGGTGGGGGTGGGAGGGTGACTGAAGGCAACAGTCAAAGAGGAAAGCCCTGAGACGGGCCTCGAAGGAGGTGGAGGGGCTCTGGGATGAGGGTGGGGGCAGAGAGGCTGAAGACCATCCTTTCTACCTAATCTCGGAGAGTATTGGGAGCATGTTGGCGAGAGCCAAGTCTTTGGGGGGAGCCCAGAGAGCGCGTTGGGGTAACTGCTGGAGTCTAACCAGCTAAACCCACGCAGCTTGTCATAGAGAGAGAGAGCGCTGCCTGGACAGCTTTCCCGCTGCTTGTCCGGCCAGGACCACTCTATCCGTTAGTCAGGGCTTTGGCTGTAGGGTGACCAGGAGCTGAGGGGGAGGATTCCCTGCTCCCAGTGACTGGTCGGCCCTTCCAGGTCCTGCCGATGGATGAGCCAGGCCGGGCCGGGCTGCCACCAGCAGTGAGTGCCTGGGACACTGCGGCCCCTCCTGGCTCGGGAACCGGGACGAGAGATGGTCACAGGGGCTCGATTCCATTGCTAAACCTTGAAACCAGTTCAGCTACAAGGAGACTCCGCTCAGCTCTCTCCCCCACCCCCCCTTCCCTCCCCCCATCCAACTCCGTCACAGGAGAATAGTAATAACAGGAAACAATGATGGGTTTGGTTTATAAGTGAAGTGAAGTGGTCAGAGTTACACAACTGATGTAAAACGGAATCTCTTTCAAATTTGACCTTTTCTTTTATGGTGTTATGCAACATGTGTGTGCGTGTGTGTGTATGTTTGGGTTGGGGGGAGGGGGGGGGGCTGTTGGTGGGCGTGGGCGGAGGATGTCATGAATGAACCAACTATTTACTATGGACAAGTGCTGGGAGTGTTGTGACCAAAGAGCCTTTATTATTGCCGGTCGGGGTGAGATGATTCACAGATGTGCTTGTTTTTTTTATTGCATGTGTGGAGAGGAAGAAATGCAATAAACGGGTCGATTAACACAACACAAGAGGAAAAATGTCTCTCATCTCCGCACAGTGACGTCTGGGTTGGGGTGAGGGGGCAGCGGGGGTGGTGGGGGGGGTTGGGGTCGGGGAGAGGGGAACCTGGCAACTAATCTCTCGTGTTTCCATCTGGCTTTACAGCTGCATCTAAAGGGTCTTGCTGTAAAGTGAAGTGACTGTGAGTTTTGAGGTTAAACCAAATGCGGCTACACTTTACATTGACTGCTCTCCGCACTGAGAGAGAGACACACCCCCACACATACACACACACGCGTGCATACATACATATATTCCCATACACATAAACACACACACATCAAACATACTAACACACATACACTAATACACAGCAGCACATGTACACATATACACGCACACACCCACCAATACAGATTTACAGACAAGCACATATACACACACATTCATAGATACATACAAACACACGCACACCAACACACACCCTCCCCCACACACACACACACAGAACAGAATCCAGGTCTCATCTGGGGTCCACTCCCTTTGATTGAAACTCAGGCTTCAGAAACGTCTGTGTGTGTGTGTGTGTGGGGGGGGGGGGGGTGCGGGGGGGTGTTTGTGTGTGGTGTGTGTGTGTGGGGTGTGTTGGGTGTATGTGTGTGTGGATGACTTTTTATCCTAATGCTCACTGATTTCCTCAGGATGTTAGTCTCCAGGCCGAGCTCCGTATCTCAGTGATGACAATCTGCCGTCGGGGAAGTCAAATACCCTGAATTCCTCCGTCTCCGCAATGTAGCTGAGCACATTCCTGACCGTAGCTGCTATGTGATACAGCGGCTTATCACACTAAGTCTCAAAGCGCTTCACTCGATATAGTGCACATAGAACAAGAGGAGACCATTCAGCCCCTGGAGCCTGTTCCACCCTTCTGTTAGATCATGGCTGATCTGTACCTTAAGTCCAATGGTAAAGTGTATTGACTGTATATTTTGTGGGTGAAACGCCGTAACAATTTGCACATAGGAGCGTCCGGCACACAGTCGTGGATTGAGTGACTGGCTATCCGGGAATTTCCCAAACGCCTTATTCCGTTGACCGGTTCCCAAGGGGCACCTTATTTGACCTCGTAATTCTGAGCTGTTCCCGGGGGACAGTCCTCGTGTGAGCCGTGTTCCCTCCCGGTCTCCTGAGTGCGGGAAGAATGCAGGAACTGGGATCTTTCCGGCTCTATCTTGCCACAGGATCTTATCAGCGGCCGAGATTATCAGTCGGGGAGTTCTGGTGTGAGCTTTCTTCAATGTACTTTACAATGGGCAGCCTTGGGGGGTGGGGAGGAACATGGCACGGGTCCCTACTCACTGTTGGGTAACCAGAGGTGTGTGTGTGTGTGCGTGGGTGGAATAAGGAAACTTGCCTAAGGTTTCGCCCTACACTGCCGGGGAAATCACACCCGGGTCCTCTCGCTCGCTCGCGAGGCGAGGGCTCTAACCACTACACCGCGGGAATCCGAAAGCTAAAAGGAATGGGTGGGTTGGTTGCCGATATCACAGGGTGGCGGTTCGGAGTCTGGCTTTCTCACTGTTCCTCCCTGTCCTTCCTTCACCTCCAAACGCAAACCAGACAAAATGGGAGCAAAACCCTCGTGTGTCTCTCTCTCTCTCTCTCTGGCTTTAGGCTCTCGGCAGGCAGTCTCTCCATCCTGCTCCAACTGGGCAGAAGTCCACAGCTCAGCAATGCTCTGGATTCTGCCAATAAATTATTGCTCTCAATCAGTGGCCCCAGGGAGGTGAGTATTGAGGATTGAAACAATCAGACAGTCAGGGCTCCGCGGGGCAGAGCGAGGTGAAGGGATTTTTTTTTGAATAAAGTAATATTAGTAATAATTCCTCATAGTTTTTTGGTCACTCAACCTTTTGTGGGGACGCTGCCGTGCGCGATTGGCTGCCACGTTTCGCCCACAAAATGTACAGTCAATTGACTTTACACTATATTGCGGAGGTTTTCCTTACTCCACACACACACACACCTCTGTTTTCCCAGCAGTCAGTAGGAACCCGCTGCCGCGTTTCGCCCACAAAATATACAGTCACTACACTTTACAGTAGATTCCGTGAAGAGCTTTGAGACGCCTCGCGGATGTGATCAGGCTCTGTATGGATTACAAGCCGACCCCGAACGCCACTATCCTGTGCTGCAGATTCTCTAGAAGTTCCATAAAGAGATGTAGTGATTTGCTCCGTGGTTTTAAGATTTAATTTTCTCCTCCCTTCACCCCCCCCCCCCCCCGCCCCTGTTTACAGGCAGTGAGTCAGTGTGGCGGGGGCTGTGTGAAGGTGCTGGCCTCTTCGCTATGTATACTGACCTTCATAGCGATCAACCGCGTCAGTCTTATTTACAAACACAAGACTCCACAAAGCTGTGCTCGCGTTCCTGTGACTCCCACACACAACACACACTCACTCGCACCCGTGCGCGCACACACACCACACACACAGACATGCACTCACCCACACAGACACACACACCGCACACACACCGCACACACAGACATACACTCACCCACACACACCGCACACACAGACATACACACCGCACACACAGACATACACTCACCCACACAGACACACACACCGCACACACAGACACACACAGACACACACACCGCACACATTTGCTTACGGCCAGTTCACAACAATGGGAAAACAACCAGGAATCACACACTCCGGGTCTCGCTGCTCAATAATTATTATGAATGATCTTATGATTGTTATTAATTATCTAAGAGC